GCCTGAGGGAAATGGGCTTAAGCGAGAGTAAGAGATAAACTGACAAGTGGGTGAGCACGACTTTCATTTTCCTGTACAAGGACGGAGAGAAACAGAAGGGGAGCTGGAGAGAATGCCGGGATTTGGGGATAGCTGCAGCAAAGCTTGCTGCTGTGTGCAAGGAAAGTCACTCAGCACAAGAGGGGTGAAGCGCCCTGGATGGGATGGGATTGGGGCCTGCTGGCCAACGGGGCGGCCTTTGGGAGGACAAGGACCGGTGGCCACCTGCACCACGCAGGGAAGACAGAGCGCAGGCAGGTGCAGGAGCAGATGGAGCATCTCCCTGAGAGGAAGCGGAAGTCGGGCTGGAGCAGGAGGGGTGGAAAGTGTCCCAAGAAGTGTGGGACTTCGGTGCCACTGCTGGCGTGAGTGACGGCGAATTTCGAGCGAGACCAGTTAGAGTGGTTTTGTTTGCTGGGTGCGTGAGGCGCTGGGTACAGGGTGGCTCCTGAATGAAAAGTGAAGGGCTAGAACCTCTCCCAGAAGCCTTGTGGTGAAGTCAAGAGCCACACAGAGGGAAAGTGAGGGGCTGGTTGAGGGGCAGGAAGGAGATAAAGCACTTTGTGGGTGGAGGGAAAGGGCCGGGGAACGAAAGGATTAACCGACCGGGAGTCACTGCCAGAGCAAGATCTTGCAGAGGGTGGAATTCCCTGGAGAGCAGGGCACCAGGGAAAGGGCAGCTTTGGAAGCTCAGGGCGAGAGGGGACAGACCAGAGCAGGAGGTGACGAGCGGCACGGTGCTTGTGCCCTCTGGTTTATTTGCTTGCAGGAACAGAGAAGCCACAGGATCTATAATTAGCTGGGAAGAACCCGAACAGTCAACTGCTCAGCCCCACCCACCGGGCCACAGCCACCTCATTTACATGTGTGCCCTGCATCCCACCGGGACCCTCCGCCAGGCACCCTGCCCCATCATTTACTGCCCTACACAGCTTCTCAAAACTATTTTTTTTGTACAAAGGAATAACTTTCCAGCTCTTCTCTCTCAGTTAGGGCTGCCAAGGCTCCATTCCTACCCCATCTCGGCCCAGCTCTGCTCGTGCCCACTAGGACTGCACCCCAAGTTCCTCACTCACTCTTACTTAGGAAGAGAGCTCAGGCAGTGAACCTGAAGCCCTTCCTGGAGCCAAGGAATGCTTTCACCCAGGAAAAAGAGGCTTGCTTGCAACTGCTGGTCCTGGGTAAAAGGCTGCTAGGGCCTAGGGGTCCGCTTAGCATGGGGCTGGGGAAGGTGGGAAGGTCCAAGTTACAGTTGCTTACAGCTGATCTGTGTTGTTATTTAATTTACTAAATTCATCCTAAGTAATACTGGAGTCTTCCTTTCCTTCTGCCTTGTTCCCCTTCCTTTGTTCTTTTCCTCCCCACACCCTCCACCCTCCTTTCAGTAACTATTTGGAGTCTGCCGTGTGCCTACCAGTATCTATATGAAAAGGGACAGGACAGAACAGAGAAGGGAGGGGGTGGGCCTGCTGGGCCCCCCCAGCCAGCATCCCTCCTGGAGCTGCCTCCTGCTCGCAGAATCCTGGTTTTGCTCAATTTGGGGGCAGCAACGTCTTCAAGAAAATGTTTCTCCAAGAGAAAAACAAAACAGATCCAAAGCAGCCTGGGTAACCTTGTCTATGTTGTCACCGAATCCATCACTGTGGCCCGGAGGGCTGTGACCCAGTTCTGGTCAGTGGGGCCTGAGAGAAAACGGGAAGGGGTCTGAGGGTGTCTCATCTAGGAGATAAAGGATATGTAAGAGACGGAAGCTTGCTCCTTTCCTTTCCTCTTGTCTTGAAAAGGTCTGTCTGGAAGGAAGTCACGACAAGGCATAGGATAGACTCCGAGAGTCCTGGTCTGACTGCTGAATTAACAACCCCAGATCCACCTGCCACCAAATTCCTGCGTGTGAACCAAAGAGCTGCCTAAGGCCAGTGCTCCTGTCAGGGAGGCATCCTACGATTTTGTAACCAAAACCACCCTAAGCGCTACAGCAGGAGGAAATAAACCACTGTATGTAGTTTTGAGTCTTCAGGAAGTTAGGGCAAAAAACAGAGGTGAGATAAAGTTCAGAGCTCTCATTCTGAGGGAGTTTTGCCCTAAATTCCCTGTTTGACACTAACTGTCTGCCTGGGAGTTTATGCATAGAACACTGAATATGTAATTGTTAGAGCCAAGTAACTGTTCTGCAAGAAGAGTAGTTTTAACAAGACCCTCCCCATCTCTCCCCAGGGGATTGAACCTAGGGTCTTTGCATGACATTTTTTCATTTTTTACTTTTACACAGATGCGAGCTTCGCAAGAGACTGAGCCTGCAGCCCTGGTGCTACTTGCTGGTCACCAGGCATGGGGTGAGCGGAAATGCACCAATCATCTCCTGTGGTCCTCACAGCACCCTGCAAGGTGACAGCGGTGTCACCGACATTCATGGCAGAGAAAGAATGAGGAACTCACCCATGGTTGCCCAGAAGCGGCATGGCAAAGCTCTTTCAGAGCCATCAGATGTTCTTTGAGATGCCATCCTGGCCACCGAACCCTGCACATTCTCCAAAGCACAGTTTTTTAGCTAGGTGTTTACTTCCTAAATGGAGGTGATTCTAAATCAAATTTGGCTTCAAAATCCACTTGAGGCTGCACATAGTCTCTAACTGTCCAGTGGCCTTGGCTGCGTGGGTATCCCGGGCCTCAGCTGGCCAACTGTAAAGGGAGCAGCCAGAGCCAGAAGAGCTGGTCACTGCGTAGCTTCCCAGTGACTCCTCCACCTCTTTGCTGGTTTGGGCACGTGTGAGCATATACATCTCATCTCTATTTATGTTTTCTGGCTCCTAAGATACAGCTAGGCTCCAGTCACCTTTCCGGCCCAGATCCTATCCCTTGCCAGGCTGTCCACTCCAGTCTACAGAAGCAGCAGAGTAATGTGGACTTGCAGAGCCATCTGGTAAGCGGCAGCCCGCGTGAGTAATAAATTCCCTTCCTTGCAAGAAGATGAACCAAGTTTTATTACAGATCCTATCACAATGCAAAGGGCTGGGGCCATGATTGAGTTAAGCCTGTCATAGTGTAAATCAATAGGAAACTCAGAGGAGACAATCTGATTTAGGATGTTCGTTTCGGGAAGCTGGTCTTCCCACAGTATTGGAGTCAAGCTGTAACCCAGGTTCTGCCACCATAAGTGGAAAGTTTAACCCCAGAGGACCAACCTTGTTAATAAAATAAATTCAGATCCCTCCAAATAAAAATTCGGATGTGTCTTAATCTCCTCTCAGTAGGCTGAATCCCTTAATCTACTAAATTATTATGGAAAACCCCTCTCTGTGGCTGTCAAAATCACTGCTGTCATGCGAGTACTCTCTTGGGAGGCCCGAGTTGCTCCCTAATCACTTGGATTATGTGCCATCTGCCACATCTGAGAGCGGGCCACATCCTTAAGGAAGCAAAACATAGGGTCTGGGATGAATCTGAGTGATAGGTTGGCTCGAAAGGGGCAGACAGGTGCCCCATACTGCCCAGATGGATGACTGGAAAGGGACAGGGCAAGGGCTGTAACTCCCTGGACTCAGTACAGTGTCCCCTCTCTGTGTGCCAGGTGTTTGGACAGGGTCAGGGTGAGGGTTCTGCATACTGTCTGTGCCCAACAGGTGTGGCATGTCCTCCTCTAAGACTGGCCAGTTTGCCTCAGGGCCCTAAGCCTTTCCAGTGGGCAGGTGCCAGTAAGCATCCAGCCAGCACATAAGGACCCTGTATTCTGCAGCCTGGGGTAGGTCTGGAGCAACTGCTCAGGAAGATGACCCCACCTGGCTAGGAAAGAAAAGGGACAGAAGGTATGGCTGGTGCAGAAAAGGGAAGGCCACTGGGACAGGGAGCTTCAGCTTCCGAGAGGGGCCCTCAGCAGAAGCCCTAGTGAACAGGGATTTAGCTTGTCTGGGTTGGGCCTCCCATCACACCTCCCTCTCTCCTACCTCTATTAGAATGACTCACGCCTGCTGAGAGGATGAATCATGTGGGTTACGAAATCCCAGGACTCCAGGAGCTGAAGAAGACCTCAGGTAGCCATCTCCATAGAGCCTATCCGTTTTCTGTCCCTTCCTGCCCCCTGGCACCCGCCTCTACCTGCCAAGTCATGGACTCCAGCAAGTGAAAAGTGTATCCAGCCCTGGAACAAACCCGACTGCTTCTGGCTCTGAAAGTCAGATGAGTCGTTTTTTCCCCTCTCAGGCCTCCTCTGCCTTTTTTATTTGTTCCTTTTGTTTTGTTAACCCTCCTATATGATTTAGGCTGCTTGCTTTCTGCAGGGGTCTAATTGGGACCAGTGGGTACCAAGAGGGACAAGAGGAGAGACCTCAGAGGCATCCTCACCTCTCACCATTGCTTGTTCACGGTACAACCATCACTCTCTGGGGTGCCCCAAATAATTATCCACTGGATGCCAGGCTGCTGCAGGCAGCAGAGGGAGGATGATTCAGCTCACTTTCCCCCTGGCTGGTCCTGGCTTGGAGGGTGCTTTCAAGAGTATACACAATCTAGTGAACACCTACCACGTGGCAGGCCCTGGGCTCATCAAAATAAACCTTTGTTGGCAGCTGACTGTAAGGCAGGAGCTGACCTCACCCTGAAAACAGCCCTGTGGGAGTAGATACCACTGTGACCCCCATTTTACTGTTGGAGTGCCCACTCGGTAAGGGCAGTAGTTTGCCCAAAATCACAGAGAGACTAAGTGGTCTGCCTGGGGATTCATGGTACACAACCTGCCCAACGAGGTAGGCTGCAACGGGGCTGGGTCTCTTGGAGCTTTGCTAGGCGCTCATACCAGGGCTTTCCTGAGAGTTTTACCCCAGGACACTGCACACTTGCAAGCCCACTAGGGCCCTACGCTGCCTGGCCCCGGGGACAGCCACCCGCCCCGGGCGGGTGCAGCCACCAGGTGCGCGGCCACTGGGAAAGCGCCGGCCTGAGCCAAGACTGAGGAAGGGCAGACTCACCTATGCGCTCCTGGGCAGGGCCCTCCCGGCTCCGTGCCGAACGTGCGGGTAGAGGCTGCCGGCTCGGGGCAGTCCTGTGGCTCGAGGGCCCCAAAAGTCTGCTGAGAAGTTCCCCCGGGTGGCGGGCGTCTCGCAAGCCGCGGCCGATCGCGGGCCCCGGCTCCGGGGCGCAAGAGCTCGAGCCCAGGGCGCCACCGGGACGCGCGGGCGGGAACGCGCCGCGGCGGCCGCCGCCTCCTCCTCCTCCTCCTCCTCCTCCCTCGCTCCCGCCCGCGGCGGCGGCGGCGCTTCCCCGGCGCAGAGCGGCTTTAAAAGGCGACACCCCACCCCCCGGCGCACTCGCCGCCTGGGCGCCGCGCGAGCAGCCGCTGCCATGCCTCCGCGCGCGCCACCCGCGCCCGGGCCCCGGCCGCCGCCGCCCCGGGCCGCCGCCACCGCCGCCGCCACCTCCGCCGCGGGGGTCGGGGGCGCCGCCGGGCTCCGGCCGCTCGCGCCGCGCGCCTGGCGCTGGCTGCTGCTGCTCGCGCTGCCCACCGCCTGCTCCGCGCCGCCGCCGCCGCGCCCCGTCTACACCAACCACTGGGCAGTGCAAGTGCTGGGCGGCCCGGCCGCCGCCGACCGCATGGCCGCCGCGCACGGCTACCTCAACTTGGGCCAGGTGAGTGCGGCCGGCCGGGCGCCCAAACTTTCCGGCGGCCGCCGCGGGCACGCACGAGGGGGCGCCGCGCCGCCTCCGCGCCCGCCGCGTGGGAAGGCGTCCCGGACCGTGCCATCGAGGGGCCGCGGGGGCGCCCTGCCGGGGGACGGGGCGGCCGTCGGTGCCCAGGTGCTGCCACCGGCCTCCGGCGTGGGAAGTGAGTGCGGTCCGGAGGCGGGCCGGGCGCCGACACCTGCCCGGCTGCGCGAGAGCGGGAGCTGCCGGGGCTGGCGCTGCGCTGTGCTGCCGGTGCCGCCCTCGGTGTGCACCGAGCGCGCCCCACAGCCTCTGAGCCCCAGTCTGCCTCACCGGCCCTTCTGCCCTCGATGACGGGCGGGCAGCTCAGGGCCTGGGCCAGACGCGCACGCAAGGGCAGCGGCTTTTGGTTGGGCGACAGCGCGACAGTGCGTGGCCCGCAGCCTCTGGGTCTGGGTTTTGCTCAGGGTCCTCGACTCTCCCGAGTTAGGGTGCTCGGGTGCCTGCGTTTGGCAGCTAGGTCTGAGTCTGGGAGGTTCTCGAGATAGTACAGGACCAGCAGCGGCACCCTTTGGGCCGGACACGGACACCCCCTGTCCAATCCTTCTAAACACAGAGGGAAGTCACTTGGTATGTGGTTTGAATGGTGTTGCCTGCATGGTTCTGCGTGATCTTAGGCAAGTCATTTCTCTAACTCAGTCATCTTTGGGTTTGCTGTTGTTCCTGCTCCGTGCTGTTGCTGGGACAACCCAGTGATGTGTGGTCAGGGGAGGCAGAAGAGTGTTCCCCTTCCCTGTGGCCTTGACTGTCACGGTTGGTGTCATTTAGCAGAAAAGGCTGAGCCTTGACTGGGACTGCAGCGCGGCTCCAAAGGACAGCAAGGCGGGTCCCCTGTTCCTTAAAACCCCGTGGAAGGACAGTGGGGAGGGTTGCTTCCGATGTATGGCCCGTGCCAGGGCCTCACCAGGCTGGAGTGTGTGGTGGCATGGAGGGGATTTCGGCACACATGACGAGTCCACAGACGGTACACCAGAGAATCCAAGGAAGCACCACCTGGTAACACCAACCTAAGTGCCAGACAGCGTTAAATTTACCTTTGGGGTCATTCCAGGTGACAGAAGCCAGCAAAGGGAAGTGGGCCCTGGTCTCAGTGGCATTTCCTCTGCTTTCCTAGTGAATGTCCTGCTGCTGATGGGAGGTGTGGAGCCTCCTTGGAAGGGCAGGCTCTCCCCCTCCGAAGTGAGTTTCACAAGGCAGGTCAGAGTTTATCTGAAAGAAAGCAATATCTTCTGCCCTTTGAAGTCAATGTCATGAGGCAGGTCAGAGTGTATCTGCAAGAATACAATCACAGCTTTTGTGTATCTTTTAAAAAAAATTTGGAGCCACTAGAGTCTCCTCAATTGTCCTGTGATTTAGGATTCTGCCTCTGGGCAGCAGTAACTTTCTTAGTGTGGCTTCCAAATCTCTGTGGCTGATGGGGATGAACGAGGAAGGTGCTCCTGTTTGCTTAGGAGCCCTGACTTCTGCCACGCTGCTCTGCTCAGGTAGCCCAACAATTTGTCTTCAATTCAAAGTGACTCTTAAACCACCAGGCAAATGACAGAGAGCATGGGCTGGGGACTCCCATCGTGAAGGGAGCAGAGGGGAGCTGAAGTTGAGCTGTGAGCTCTTGGACATTGTGAGACAGCCAGACAGGCACTAAATCCCTCTTGAAATTTCTGTCTCTGGGAATAAAATACCCAGTTCTTTGGATCACCTGTCAAATTCCCCAAATAGCTTAGGAAGTAAGTTTGTTTTCTGGGTTTTGCCTCTGGATGAGAGGTCTCCCCTTGCTTACATCCCCACTATGCAGGACATTCTGGGGTGTCTCTGAGAGTCTCCCCAGCTCCGCAGGTGCAGCCAGGTGCGCTCTACGCAGCTGGTCTCCTAGCTTGCGAGGCATGATGCTGGCCGCAATCCAACAGATGTTCCCAAAGTGGGGATTATGTGGTCACAGACAGGAGCTGTCTTGAGACTCGGGTACGATTACTCAAGGAGGGTTTATTACTCTTGATGCCCAAACCAGCTCTTGTCTGCCTACCTCTAAGTGTACTGCTAATGTGGAAAAGCCTGGAGCTTTCCAACCTCTACCCACTCAATCAGAACTCTTTAAAACCCTCATTGCTTTTTTCAACCTGAAGAATTTGTGACTCATAAATGAGATGAAGATGTTATTAGCTTTGATTTATGGATGAGTAGATCAGGTGAAGCAAGGTGGCCAAGCTGTTTGCGTTCACACGTGTGACACCTCTGACAGTCACACTCCCTGCTCTTTGTCTCTTGCTGTCTTCTGTGGCCTGAGATCGCCTTTGTGTGCCTTGCACCAAGCCCTTAATGGGCAATTAGTGCTGTGCTCAGTACCTGCCTGAGTCACCACCCTGGGGTTCACACCTGGTGATTGTGGCTGTGCTTTAAGTTCTTGCTTGATTGTGTTACTTTCTTCCACACCACTGCTAACCCAATTGATCCAAAGTTAATTTCGAAGGTCGTTGTTCACCTTTCTTGAATTGAGAGTCCTTTTCAGATTCTGATGGAGACTCTGGGTGCTTTCCATTAAAAAAAAGTACGCATTATCAGAAGTAAGACAAGTAGTTCACTTTTAGCTCTTCTAGTCATCATTCCAGATAGCACAACAAGATAAAGGAATAAAAATTGGGAAGAGTCAAATGTCATTACTGGCAGGTGACGTAACTAGCTGCTTGGGTAACCAAGAAGAACCAGGCTGCTAGATGATACTGGCTAGCTACCTATCCAATGGTGACATTTGAGAGGACAAAATAAGTTATAATTCATCCTAGCAATTAAAGATGTAAGACAAAAGCTTTCAAAATAAATCTAAAAGGGAAATATTTATGGCAAAACTCATGATATTTTTTTTAAAGTGCTGGGGATCCATCCCAGGGCCTTGCATGTGCCAGGCAAGTGCTGTACCAGTGAGCTACATCCCCAGCCCCTGAGAATTTCAAAACATTTGGAGAGAGGTTTAAATAAAGAAAGTGAATAAATGGAAAGATACATTATGCTCATCTATGGAAAGACTGAATGTCACAGTTGCCTCCAAATTAATCTGATAACTTAACATAATCCTGTTTAATTCCTGGCAGGATTATATGTGGAATACGAAATCCACAAATCAGTCCTAGAGTTCGTATGGAGGAGTGAGGTTGGAGAATTCTTCAGACAAGTATGAGGAAAAAATGAAGAGGGGACTTTCGGGGGTGACGGTTAACAGTGGCCTGGGGTGGGCCGGCTCCCTAGTGGAAGAGACCTAGACTCGAGCACGGTGGGAGCCTGTTTATGAGCAGAAAATTCCCATGCGTGGGGAAAGGGCGGCTTTTATTCAATAAATGGTGCTGGGAGAACCAAGCCCATGTGGTTCTTGCCTCTCTACACAATAAATTTCAGATAGGGTTAAAAGCCTGAGTGTAAATAAAGCTTTATAAACATGTATAGTGGTGTAAACATGTATAGTGGTGTATCTGTATGACAATGAAGAGGAAAGGATTCTTTAAACAAGATGCAAAAAGAAACAAATACAAGAAGGAAGAGATTGATACGCTGAAATCATAGCTGGGCACGGCGGCACTTGGGAGACTGAGGTAGAGGAGCACCATGACTTCAGGGTCACCCTGGGCTACCTAGTGAGATCAAGGCTCACGAGGAAAAGCCAGGGGAGGAAGGCAGGCACGTGGCTCAGTGTGGAAGTCCTGGGCTCGTCCTCAGAGCTGTGAAGCAGACGCCAAAATAAATACAATCACTACTTTTCCCTGTTTATTACTGACTTTTTACTTATATTAGCAATCAAAGGCACCCTAACTAGAAAAAGTAGTTGTAACGTGTAACAAACAGGTGAGTACATAGGTGATTTTAAAAACTTTAAACCAGTGAGAAAAAAGTAAGTGCCAAGTAGAAAAACGAGCTGTGCAGAAGTAGAGAATTCAAAAGAGGAAAGCACAGTGGCCAGATCAACAGAAAAGGTGCGGGCCTCAGTGGAGTCCTGGGAGCAAGGCTGCTGGGGCGACAGGAGACACCGTTTCTCACCTGTCGGATTGGCGAGCGCAGAGAGGTGTGTGTGAGCATCAGCAGCTGGCCAGGAGAACTTCCCGTGCTCAGGAGGAAACTGCGTCTTTACTCCGGGGAGTGTTTTGGTGCCTTGCTGGCAGGTGCTACACCATGTCTGTGTCTAGCCTTGTGCTGGACAAACTCCGATGTGTGTGTGCAGGGAGGCTTTAAAAATGTATTTATTTGTTTATTTGAGAATTAGATCATTTGATTTGAGAAAGAAGGACGAGAGAGCCCTCCCACCCTGACCGTGCTGGCCGCACTGGCTGCAGGCGCTGGGCCATTGAGCATCCCTGGGGGATACGATGGGTCGGGGAGTCAGAGGCCGGCTGATTTTGGGGGGAAAATGTTCTTTTGTAACATTGTGTTTATTTTTTATTAGCACATGTTTGCAGTACACAATGGTTGCATGCTTATGTGGACTTGGTCCAGGTACCTAATACATTTTATTCCTTTTTTATTTCCTTCCCTTCTCTTCCCTCCCCGCTCCCTTCTCCTCTTGTTCTTTTCCCATTGGCCAGAGCTCCATGTCCCTCTTTTTCTTTCATTCTCCTTTCTGTCCCTTTTTCCTTCCCATCCCTCCTCTCCCTTCATCTGTTGTCCTTCCTCCTATTTGAGAAACATCTCCTTGCTTCCTGTCACCTACTTCTATTTTGCTCTTGATTTATATTTTGGGTTTCCCTTATAAGAGAAAACCTTAGTTAACATGATGATCTTGAGGCGCCTCAGGTGTATAGCAGGGTGGTGCTGCATTGAGCATAAATTTCATATTTCCTTCACTCACGTGTCGACGGGCATAGAGGCTGTTGCCAAGAGTTAGCTGTTGTGGATTAAACGTGACTATGCATGTGTCACTGTACCGTGATGTCCTTAAACCTTCCAGG